CTCGGCCTCCCAAAGTGCTGGGATTACAGGCTTGAGCCACCGCGCCCGGCCACAAACATGCTTTTAAACTATTTTCCAATTTGGTACACTCAATTTAGTAAAAAGCAAGAGCTCTTCCAATTTCTCCACTTTGTTGCATTATAATAGCCAGTTTGGAAGTGGAAATAGGCTTCTAAATTCTTGTTGCAGCAAAATCTCTTGGGCCTCTCATTCAGTCCACCATGCAGATGCTGGTTGCAATAATACAACCAGGGTTCCCTTTGTTGCAGTAATCTCCCAGGCCTTGGTTGCAATTTAATATCCAAGTTCTCCTTACAGTAACATCATCAGCCAACTCGCAGCTGCCCCTAACAACTAAGCCAAGAGCTGCAGAGGGTCAGTTACACAGGAGGGCATAAGCCTGCTTCCCCTGGGATTCACATCTAACCTAGTGCTTTGCAGACGTTAACGTGCAATCAAATCACCTGGGAATCTCTTTAAAAGAGTAGATTCTATGCCGGGCATGGTGGCTCACGCCTGTAATCCCAGCACTTTGGGAGGCCAAGGCAGGTAGATCACCTGAGGTCAGGAGTTCAAGATCAGCCTGGCCAACATGGTAAAACCCCGTCTCTACTAAAAATACAAAATAAAAATTAGCTGGGTGTGGTGGCAGGAGCCCGTAATCCCAGCTACTTGGGAGGCTGAGGCAGGAGAATCACTTGAACCCGGGAGGCAGAGGTTGCAGTGAGCTGAGATGGCACCATTGCACTCCAGCCTGGGCAACAAGAGTGAACCTCCGTCTCAAAAACAAAACGAAAAGTAGATTCTAATTCAGGAGGTTTGGAGTGTGTGCATTTCTAACGCGCTCCAAGGTGCTGTTGCTGCTGCTTAGAACCATCATTTGAGTAGTAAGGGTCTAAAACAACACAACTCACAAGCCCTCAACCCACCAGCCCACGTTGGAACTAGTTTACAAATGTCTCAGTGAAATGATTCCGTTGATGCTGGTGCGCACTTCTACATTTATGTGGGGAAAGAGGTCAGGACAGAAGTTGAGGGACTTGGGGCCCCAAAGCAGATAAGGTTGTGGGGTGCAGATCTGGCTCTAGGATCCTGAAGCGAGTCTCTGGAGGAGGTCAGGCAAAATGGTGGCAAACTTATTTCTGTACGGATCAGGAAGTTGCTGACAGGAGCAGAGAGGTGGAGTTTACTGTATTGGGGGAAGGGGTGGTCTAGTGGAAAGAAGCTGGTTTGTCATGTCAAGGGACTTGGTTTCAATCCTGCTGGCCGTTTACTCGCTTTAGGGCTTTGGGTAAATTACTTAACTAGAATTTCTAAACAAAATTTTCTTCCACTGTGAAAAATGAGAATACAAAACCTCACCTGCTCTTTCATAGGTTCAAAGGAAATGTCCACTTCCTTCCCTTTAACTCCCAACGGAGTCGAGGGGTTTGGCCCTCAACACCGTATGACCTGCTCATATCACGACTTCTTGGCCCAAGTTACACCCTCTGTAAAAAGAAGAGAAGAATGGTTAGATTAGACCAGTGGCTTTGAAAACTGTGCCTCCATTGCCTACTTCCACCCACGCCACCCAAAATAACAGAGCAGCCCTGCCTTTGTGCATTCTATGTGGAGTCACAGTGGTTGAGAGTATGGGCTGTAGAGATAACAGCCTGAGTACTGCCACCACCACAGACACTTTGTGTGTAACTTTAGGAAAGACACTTTTAACTACCCTGAGCCTCAGTTTCATTTCCAGAAAATGGGTTGTAATTAGGATTGAGTGAATGAATACACTGAAGTTCTTTAGGCCAGGGCGAGGTGGCTCACGCTTGTAATCCCAGCACTTTGAGAGGCCAAGGTGGGTGGATCACTTGAGGTCAGGAGTTTGAGACCAGCCTGGCCAACATGGGGAAACCCCATCTCTACTAAAAAATACAAAAATTAGCTAGATGTGGTGGCAGGCCACCTGTAATCCCAGCTACTCAGAAGGCTGAGGTGGGAGAATCGCTTGAACCCAGGAGGCGGAGATTGCAGTGAGCTGAGATCATGCCACTGCACTCCAGCCTGGATGACAGAGTGAGACTAGGTCTCAACACATAAATAAATAAATAAACAAATAAATAAATAAATAAATAAAGTTACTTGCACAGAGCCTGGGACGTAATGAGTGCTTAATAAAATTTGTTATCACTGTATTTATTGTTATATTAGATTTTGTGTAATATTTGGTTTGAAAAAAATGGATTCCTTCGCAGTAAGCTTCTGAGGTACTGGCATTATGCCCTGACAAAGCTGGCAGTACCACAGTGGGTGAGGGTGTTTAGGATGGAGTTGGGAGTCAGCTTACTTGGGTTTGAATCCCAGCTATACCACTTGCCAGCTGTGTGACCTGCAGCAAGTTGCTCAACCGTTTTGTTTCTCAGTTTTCTCATCTGTAAAGGGGGATGTTGCTAAACCAGTTAATATATATGATATATGTAAAATGCCTAGAGCAGTGCCTGGCCCATGGCAGGTACTATTACCATGTGTTAGCTATTAGCTGTTAGTATTACAGTATTAGCTATTTTTCTTTAAAATGCCTATGTTTTCTAACTCCTCTGTATATAGATACAACATAATTAAAAGTTATTTTTTTAAAAAGATGGTCCTTTTCTTTTTTTTTTTTTTTGCCTGTTGCCCAGGCTAGAGTGCAGTGGCGCAATCTCATCTCATTGCAACCTCCACCTCCCGTGTTTAAGCAATTCTCCCGCCTCAGCCTCCTGAGTAGCTAGGATTACAGTTGTGCGCCACCACGCCCAGCTAATTTTTGTATTTTTAGTAGAGATGGGGTTTCACCATGTTGGCCAGGCTGGTCTTGAACTCTTGATCTCAGGTGATCCACCTCCCTCAGCCTCCTAAAGTGCTGGGATTACAGGCGTGAGCCACTGTGCCCAGCCGGATTCTGTTTTTTTTTTTTTTTTTTTTTATTATTATTATTATTATTATTATACTTTAAGTTCTAGGGTACATGTGCATAGCGTGCAGGTTTGTTACATATGTATACTTGTGCCATGTTGCTGTGCTGCAGCCATCAACTCGTCAGCACCCATCAACTCGTCATTTACATCAGGTATAACTCCCAATGCAATCCCTCCCCCCTCCCCCCTCCCCATGATAGGCCCCGGTGTGTGATGTTCCCCTGGATTCTGTTTTTTAGAAAAGGGAAAATTGGAAGAGTTATTCTCTAAGTCACTACTGGCCAACACGTGTGGCAATTTACATTTAAATTAAAGGCCGGGCAAAGTGCTGTAATCCCAGCACTTTGGGAAGCTAAGGCGGGTGGATCACTTGAGGCCAGGAGTTCAAGACCAGCCTGGCCAACATGGTGAAACCCCATGTCTACTAAAAATACGAAAATTAGCTGGGTGTGGTTGAGCACAACTATAGTCCCAGCTACTTGGGAGGCTGAGGCATGAGAGTCACTTGAGCCCGACAGGCAGAGGTTGCAACGAGCCAAGATCGTGACACTGCACTCCAGCCTGGGAGCAAGACTCTGTCTCAAAAAAGAAAAAAAAAAGTTAAATTTAATTTGACTAAAATTAAGTCCAGTTAAATATTCAGTTCCTTAGTTGTACTGGCCACATTGCAAGTGTTCAGTGGCCTCATATGGCTAGTATGGTGTATATACAGAACATTTCCATCACTGTAGTAAGTTCTACTGGACACCTTTGTTCCAGGGCAGTGGCTGTCGACTGGAGCTGCACATTGGAGTCACTTGAAGAATGAAAAGATATGGTTGGGCGCAGTGGCTCACACCTGTAATCCCAGCACTTTGGGAGGCCGAGGCGGGTGGATCACCTGAGGTCAGGAGTTCGAGACCAGCCTGACCAACATGGTGAAACCCCATCTCTACTAAAAATACAAAAATTAGCTGGGTGTGGTGGTGTGCATCTGTAGTCCTAGCTAGTCAGAAGGCTGAGGCAGGAGAATCACTTGAACCCAGGAAGCAGAGGTTGCAGTGAGCCGAGATCGCGCCACTGCACTCCAGCCTGGGCGACAGAGCGAGACTCCATCTCAAAAAAAAAAAAAAAAGTGCCTGAGTCAGACACCCCAGAGTTAGATTTAATTGCTATAAGAGGATTTGGCCAGGAGAAAGACATGAGCAGAGGTGAATTTCTAGAAGTTTTATCTGGCAGCAGTGCAGAGGTGGAAGGGCCTGAAGTTGCTAAGCCAGGAGAGGGAGGACAGCAGCAGTCCTGGCTGAGTGACATGTGTACCTGCATGGGGAAGGGACTGTGGAGGCTCCTGGGGAGTTGTATTCCTGGGTTCTTTTTTCAGCTCTTTTCAAGAATTGTGGTGACAATGAATGGCTCCTTGGCCGTCAAAGGAGAGATCTTCACCCTTAGTAGGGCAGGAAGCGGTCGAAGCACCTGAAGATCTTCATGAATTCCAGGCCACCATCTTTAAAATCTGGTTTAATGTTTTGTGTAGGTAATACATGCCAATGATGCAAACTTTAGGAGGTAAAGGGAGTGATTTACTGAAAAGTCATCTCCATGTTACCCCTCTCCCTTACAACCCAGTTTTCTCCTTAGAGGCAGAAATATTACTAATTTTGTGTGTATTCTTCCAGTAATATTATTTCTAATTTTCAAGCAAATGCAGAGATATCTATTTCCTTTACACAAATTGTGACACACCATATACACTTTGCTCTTTTTTACTCAGCAATATATTTTGAGACTCCATATTAGTACATAAAGATCCACCCCATACTCCATTCTTTTTTTGTTTTATTTTTTGAGAAGGAGTCTCGCTCTGTCACCCAGGCTGGGTGCAGTGGCACGGTCTCCGCTCACTGCAACCTCCACCTCCCAGGTTCAAGTGATTCTCCTGTCTCAGCCTCCCGAGTAGCTGGGATTATAGGTGCATGCCACCATGCCCGGCTAATTTTTGTATTTTTAGTAGAAACGGGGTTTCACCATGTTGGTCAGGCTGGTCTGAAACTCCTGACCTTGTGATCTGCCCACCTCAGTGTCCCAAAGTGCTGGGATTACAGGCATGAGCCACCACACCCCACTGTGCTCTGCCACCCCATTCTTTTTTTTTTTTTTTTTGAGATGGAGTCTCGCTCTGTCACCCAGGCTGGAGTGCAGTGGCTGGATCTCAGCTCACTGCAAGCTCCACCTCCCGGGTTTACGCCATTCTCCTGCCTCAGCCTCCCGAGTAGCTGGGACTACAGGCACCCACCACCACGCCCGGCTAGTTTTTTGTATTGTTTTAGTAGAGACGGGGTTTCACCATGTTAGCCAGGATGGTCTCGATCTCCTGACCTCGTGATCCACCCATCTTGGCCTCCCAAAGTGCTGGGATTACAGGCTTGAGCCACCACGCCTGGCCCACCCCATTCATTTTAATGCTAATAGTTTACAATGTTTCTGTATCATAAATTGTTATTTTACTTGCATCCCAGGACTGGAACTATTACACATTATTTAACCAGTCCCCTGTTGATGGGCATTTAGGTTGTTTCTTTTGATAATACAGACAATGCACTAGTAAATAATACTGCATACATTTCATCTTATTCAGGAGTGAGGATCTCTCACCATTTTTCTTTCCACTTTGCAAAGTGAAAAAGATATAAGGCCATTCATAGCAATATTGTTTGCAGGAGTTTGCTGACAAGCAGGACTGGAAGTAACTTTGCTGCCTACAGACAGGGGTGCCATAGGTTAGATGAGAAGCCCACCATTCTGTACAGCCACAGCCCCCAGGTATGTCTGCATTCCCGTGGTCCCTGGAGATTAAAGTAATGTGATGTGCGGCCAGAGTCAGGCCAACAGATTTGCCATGGCTCTGAGCAGGCCTGGTCATACTCTTCAGCCCTTTCCCACAAGGGTGTTCCTGGTGAGACACTGGGGACAGAGGCCTGGGGAGGAGAGGACTCAGGAAGGCATGTGAGTGAGGAGGGGCCAAGTCCTCTCTTCTGGACTAATAAGATTGAGCCCTCTCTCTCAGGGTAGAGGTAGCCTCCCCACATGCTGGGCAGTAGCTCTGGCCAGGCTGGTGGAGGCTGATTGTGGTTCTGTAGAGGACAGATGGCAGGGTGGGGGCTGAAAGGCCATTTCTGCCACCACATTGCCTATGGGCTCAGGGCTTCACTCATTCACCCAGTCATTCATTTATTCTCTCTCACATATAAGTCTTGGGCATTGTTAGGTGTGTGCCAGGCCCTGGATGAGTGTTGGGGGATGGGAGTAGTTCTAAAGATGACAATGACAGGTGGCTGGTCAGGACTGAGAAAGAGGCTCATCCATGAGTCCTTTGCTCTTCAGCCCTGGGGCCTGTCAGTCACCCTGACACACCCTGATCCTGCTCTGACTTCATCGTTCCTGTTTGTGAGCTTTTATTTTTCTCCAAAGTTTATCCTTCCCTGACCTCTCCTTGCTTTTTTCCCCCCAGCCTTTTTTTTTTCCCCCCAGGTATCTTTAAAATTCAAAGTATACATGGAAACCAAAATAAGATTATATCAAGAGGCCAGGCGCAGTGGCGCACGCCTATAATCCCAGCACTTTGAGTGGCTGAGGCAGGCAGATCGCTTGAGCTCAGGAGTTCAAGACCTGGGCTACATGGCAAAAATGTTTCTACAAAAAAATACAGGCAGGGCGCAGTGGCTCACGCCTGTAATCCCAGCACACTGAGAAGCAGAGGTAGGGGGATCAGCTGAGGTCGGGTTTGAGACCAGCCTGGCCAACATGGTGAAACCCTGTCTCTACTAAAAATACAAAAATTAACCGGGCG